AGATGTTTTTTTTAGCTGTTCTGTCGTCGTTTCCTGCGATCTTCTCCATGCAGTCAGTCAAAATATAAGTTCCAGTGTATATTTCCCCTTGTTGATGCAGGGGACCACTTCCTTTGCTCTGGTTGATACGTCCCCCTCTTTTGCAACAGTGAAGGGGTCTCTGGCAAAGCCCATCACCTCTGTGGGCAGAGCAAGTCCATCCAATCGACCGGCAAAGTTCTCTTTCAACCTCGCAATGACCCCGCGGGCCACCAGTTGAATAGGCCTGTTTTATAGAATATAGGTCACAAATTCTATAGTATTCTATAGTATTCTACAGAATGGTATTCTACAGAACAGTTCTATAGAAAGCTAGACCCTCCAGAAAAACGCGATCCTGCGATCGCAGANACATCCGTGATTTGTGCCGGAGATGTGATGTGTTTGGGGAGCGTCGGAAAATGCAGTATCCGACCTGTGCTCAAGTCGGTCGCGAAAAGGTCCAGCTTCAAGCTGGACCTTTTCGCGACCGACTTGAGCACAGGTCGGATACTGCATTTTCCGACGCTCCCCAAACACATCACATCTCCGGCACAAATCACGGATGTGATGACAGATTTCATTGCGAGGTTGAAAGAGAACTTTGCCGGTCGATTGGATGGACTTGCTCTGCCCACAGAGGTGATGGGCTTTGCCAGAGACCCCTTCACTGTTGCAAAAGAGGGGGACGTATCAACCAGAGCAAAGGAAGTGGTCCCCTGCATCAACAAGGGGAAATATACACTGGAACTTATTGACATGCAGCGCACTAACGGGCCAGCAAAGTTTTGGAGTGATGTCAAAAAACAGCAGTTCCCTAACGTTCAGAAAGTAGCGATCTGTGTGCTCAGTATGTTTGGATCAACATACACATGTGAATCAAGCTTTTCACACATGAACTCAATCAAAAGTAGCACTCGCTGCTCCCTGACTGACAGCACTCTTCACCAATGTCTTACGGCCCCTCCACACACAGGCATGAAAAAGATCTTGAAAAATCTTGATGCTATAGGCGTGTCTGAAACTTGGCTATTTCACGCGACCAACAACCAATCAGGAATCTCCCGCCCCCGGCATACAAAGCCTGTCCGTTCAATGTTAAAACGAAGTAAACTGGATATAAACTCCCCAAACAGGTGAAAACCTACCAGTTTCACCAACTGTCTCTGCCACCTCCCTCCATGCCTGGTTCCTCCGTTTTAGGTCCCGGTAGGTGAACAGAGAGCAGTCGTAAAGGACCGGGACATTTCCTACAGCGATGATTAATTTATCCTCCATTTTATGACATATGGAAAAGACCGCAGCGGTATCTGCATACAGTACACGCGGTTTGATTGGCTAGCGCTTGCACTGGCGGGATTTGCATAAACGGGATTCGCAAGCATTGGGAGCATCAAAAGTTGAACATTGCTCAACTTTTGATGCTCACGATGCTTGCAAAGCCATGCTCCGCTCTCCACAATGCAGTTCGGCGAAGATTAAAAATCTTCTACGTCACCCCATTCAAGTGAATGGGCGAAGCTTTGAAAGATTTTTTTCATGCCTGTGTGTGGACGGGCCGTCAGAATAAGCGCTTTGAGCATCAGGAAAAGCGCTATATAAATATGTATTATGTAACATGTATGTATGATTATTATCATTTGTTTTCCCCATTCAAGTGAATTCTGGGATGGCAAACCGCAAGTGTTGCTCACAAGACTAATCATGCAATGCCCACAATGCAATAAAACTGCTGACAGCTTTGAGATAAAGTAGTTTTTTTCAGTTTTTTGCTGCTAAACGCTTCAATAGTTTAACCAGCAGGTCGCTAAAAATGCTTGCCTCAGATTTCACATTTATATTTTTCCCTGTTTCCTTTTTTCTTAAAAAGCGACGTCAACTGTTTATAGGCCACTGTATATAAGGATTATTTAGAAATAAATTGGAGGAAAACAGCCTGAGGAGGTAGAAACAACAGTATGTCGAAAATCGACTTGTAAGAGAATGAGAGTGGGGAAATTATACCATCTTATGTGCCTTTAGAAAGCATGGTAGTTTGGTAAAGTGGGCAAATAACAATTCACCTGTTACTCCACTGCAAACTCTCGCACAGGTCTCCTTAGAGTCAAATCTGTTGTCATTCCCTGGGCAGCCTCCGTAGTTGAAGCGGAAGCAGTCCTTGTGGAGGGGGTTGTAGTACCACTTGGTGAGACTGTCCCTGCAGTTCCCTGTGTCAGGGAGCTCTGTGCAGCGCACTGTGAACAACAATGAAGGAGCAGGTGAGGTTAGATTGTAGGTAATTGAATACTCCTGGATGGCCAATTTCACCACATTTACCCCAACCAATATGCTCAAAGGTTTTTAAAGCACCAACAAAATATAAAACTTTTAAAAATACCTTTTTGTTCATTCACTGGGATCTGCAACAGAATCCGAAAGTTTTTGTCGTCTAATAAGCACACAGGACATAATTCAAGTTAGCAAGTCTTTCAAGGAAGCATCAGTATCAGTGGTATTTAGATTTCCATGAGCATGTATGATAATGAAGTGTGGTTTGCATAGCCACTGCTCACATTCTGCGCAGTGTTTCTCATCCGAGTTGTCGGAACATTGTGGGGTTGAGTCACACTCCAGACCCCGATCCAAACAGCAGCTGTTTTCACACGTGAACTCCTCTGCTGCACACGGACTATCACCACATCTTTGTCCTGCGGCACACAAGGGGGATTGTCTCTTTAAATATCAACTTTTTAACGGAGTAGAGGAAATGGTTTCGGAATGAAAAAAGCATAGCAGGATTCACTTACCTCGAGTTGGGGGAATTGGCAAAAGTCTACCAGATTTACCACCTTTTTCTAACAAAAAAAGCAAAAAGGTTGGATTAAAATGACTGGAATGCATTTACTAATAATGACAGGTTAACCGGGCATTCAATGGAGACTATTTACATGATAGCAATATTGAAATGTTTAAATATCATAGTAAATGTAACCAATATATCATCCCACCATTAGTTTGAAAGGTTCCTTAAGTAGCAACCCTCAGAAGTCATATCAAACAAATAAATTCCTGCACAAATATTAACCATAATTTTATGACTTAATACATACAAAACCATAGACTATTTAAAGAAGCCCTATTATACTTTTGGAGTGAGTTTCTCTCCCACACACTCCCTGAAACACCTCCATTGGATTCCTTTGTTTACTTCCGTAACATAGTTAAATCACTATGTAACACTGGCGCATCTATTGGCTAGCACTAACACATTGTACGTGATAGGCTAAGGGGAGGGACATATCTAAGAGATTGTCCAATCACAACAGAGCAGGCCAGCTAACCAAACAGAGTAAAATGGGCTCTCGTTTCAGACAGAGGGTAAAAAGAGGTGCTGCAGCACACTTTTTGGACATTGAAGCATGTAAACATGTCACAAAATACAAATATGAACCTGAAAATGTGCAGAATAGGAAGTCAAGAAATTCCCAGCACATATACCTGAGCTGGCGCAGGCGATCATGCACTCATCCTTGGAGAGATAGTTGTTTTGATTCTCCTTGCAGCCCCCAAAGTTGAAGGCCTCACACTGTTCTGAGGCACCATTGTAATGCCAGCGAGGGAAGAGCCCACGACACGGCCCTATCTTCTTTGGAACCATGCAGTGGTCTGGTGGGAAACAATATTAGGGTTAGGTTTTATTTTGTTAACATTTTAATAATGTTGCGGGTTAATTATTTACATTTTCTCCAGTGTGTGACATCTCTTAGGTAGCAACAAATAGTGTTAAAGGAATTGAGCAAAGCACTCTCACTAAGGTTTGGTAAAATATGGTTATCAATTATTAAAGTTGTACTCATCACTCCAAAGGCTGGAGAATACTGATTGATTGTGTATAAGCTGGCTTCACTTAACAAGGTAACACTTGTTAATGTAGTTTCGAATCCATAAACCAGTTGGAAAAAACATTAAAGTTTTGTGTCAACATTTTGTGAGATGGTTTTTGTAGTCTCTTTTAACTTCTTACTTTGTCTACTCACGGACCAGACACCCAGACACATAATTACACATGAAAATGAGGAAATGTAACTCGGACAAAAGTGGTGATGTGTTTCAAGCAACAGTGAGGTTAGAGAACCGGAGGTAGATAGTCTGCATGTGGTCGATGATACATGTTCTAAATGGCAGTGCTTATAAACAGTCATTTCACTACATTACATGCTGACAAAGAACTGTAAGCTATATTTTTATTACCAAGCTCTTATGTTAACAAGTCTGATTGACATCCACCAATGGCTTTAGTTTCTTTTCAATGCATTTATTGTTGTGTAAATGTGGTGACATGAAATGTAGTCGCTGCCATGCCCAAGCATTTTCCACTGAGGCACATTCCTCTCACTATGCGGGACACAAGCGGTTAATCAGTAACTGAGCCAATATGGTTAAACATATTTTCTTGTCCTCCAGTCAACAATCAACCAACAACCTGCTTATCCAGCAATGGGTTTAAAGTATGTTTGAATGATAGAACTAAAAGTTCAATCAATACAAGAGAGGATTACGGTGGTGTCTGAAACCCTGTTTGTGTAAACCAAGCTGAAACCAGATTGACAGGTTTCGTCGAGTCGGGGGTGGAGAGAGACTGATAGTGCTGGGGAAAACGCTGCACTTCCGTTTTCTGGAGAAACAAATGCACCAAGAGAGGTTGACTGTGGCTTTGTGGTATTCCAAGGGGAACGACACGGATACTCCACAAGACAAAAAAGGAATAACAATCCCCAAACTGCTGCCTCACAACAATGACAACCAGTTCCTGTTTTGGGTTTTTGTACCAACAGTATTGCCATTACAAGAGCCAAATCTGATTTAATCTCCATTAAAACATGAGCTCTTATCTCTTGCCGTTTCGACATTCAGTCTGCAGGAATTAGGCAAGCATGTCATGACAGGTTTGATAAGCAACTAACACAGAAGAGCTCATGCTTGTGAGAAACAATGGGTGAGTTACTTAGAAAAAATAAACTGAAATGAAATACCACACTGGTCACAAGCTATTCAGAACTTGAGGTTATGAGAATAAAGTGGGTAAAAAATATCACCATATTAGTAAATTATTAATTTAAAAAGGGAAAGATTTATAGATTTTTGTAAAGTAGTTAACAAGACCCGAAGGGCATTATTCTATGTTGTCCCAACATTAACCACAGGCAGGTGACTCTGTATTATCCAAAGGGACAAGTCAACAAAATACAGGGGAAACACATGACTTATTTTTACAGCTGAAACCAAACCATCCCATTTCAAATGTAACCCCTTGATATTTCAAGAGAAACAAACAAACCAAAGCAGCAAAATCTGATATTAGATTTACAAGCTAAAACCTAATCTTAATTGCTATGCAAGTATTGGCATTTACAGGATGAACAGGCTTTTATGCACTCTAATAAAATAAAAATAAACAGATATGAATCTATATGTTCAGATGATGCTGAAACAGAAACTCACGCTCAGACTGCTCTGGAGTGAGGACCAGGACAGTGACCTTGGTGGAGTCTGATTGGCCGATGGCGTCTGTGACAGTCAGCTGGAACTTGTACACCCCAGATGTCAGGTTGGACACCATAATCTGGTCGTCAAAGTTGGTTTTCTACAAGACACAGAAAGACAGTGTTTTCTTATCATTCACACAAGTGGCCAGAATATTTGTCAACTAAGTGATTGTCATAAAATACAGTAGACATTTAAAAGGAATATTTCCCTTTTGTATTTCTCTTTATCTCTGCCTAGGTGGTCTACTCTGTGGACCTGCTATATATCTATGTTTGTAAAGCACAACACAAGTTGTTTTAAACATGCTATGGAAATTGATTTGACATGAATTGAATGTAAAACACACAGACCCAGGATTACAAATAGTCCAAGAGTATTTTAAATTCCAAGAAAAAACACATCAGGTTTGCATTGCATTCTCTTTACTCACCTCAATGACAGCATTAGGATATGCGGTGACCATTTGCCACAGGTAGGTCACAATCCCCTGGTCGTCTTTGCTCTCTATGCCATTCAGTGTCACGGTATCCTGAGGCTGGACCACTAGGTCCTGACCTCCGTTGGCCGTAGGCGGCTGATCGGCAGTATCTGCAGAAACCATGGGATAGATAGATGAGCAGAAACAAGAGATCCAAATGCAGTTGGAGTCACATGTGAAGAGACAGCAGAGGAATCCTGAATCTCTAATAGGGGTCATAACAACGTGACGTGTGTGAACATGCTGAAATGTAAGGATCTGCACTAAACCTGTTGTAACCTCAGATCTTTTTACAAACTAGTGTTTGCTGACAAAGTATTAAGAACAAATCCCCAAGAATTAGATTTGCTTTCCCAGAGTAACAGCCAGAAATATATATATTTAACTGTCACACAGATCACTGGTTTTCAACTTGAGCTTTACAGTTATTTATATTGGCATATGAGAGCACAAAGGAAGAATGTAGGTTATTTTTAACATAAAATAACCATTACAAAAGTAATACTACATGGATCCTAAATTTGAAGAGACCCTTGTGATACTCTTAACAAAATGTGATATGTATCCCTATATGGACTGTTTTGATCTAGAGAAAACTGCCAATTTACGCAATTATACCTTACTTAAGAATGTGTTTTATAAGTTTTAGGACTTACTGGTGGGGACATCCCGTTCCAGGTAGCTATCATAAACGGAGTCTAGGATGTAACTGCTGTATCCTTCCTTCCTGACAAAGCGGCAGGCGTATTTCTTCTTGTACACACAGTTAAAGAGAAAGCAGGACTTGATCAAGCCTTCCTCGGATCCTCTCTCCATGAAGGCGACATTGCACTCCAGCTCTTTGCAGCACGCGCTCACGCAGTCCCTGTATCGAGTTAATTGGGGCGACGAAATGAACGTGGCTCCGTCTTTCACAGACTCGTCGCCATCGAGGACAAAATCCTCCTTGCCCCTCTTGAATTGGGCTAGACATTGCTCGCCGGCCTGGCCAAAAGTGGAGTCCAGGAGAAACACCAGCAGCAGGAGCGCACACCCTGCCAGGTGTCCTTTAGGGAGGGAATTCATTTTAGTCCTGTAACCCAAACGAGTAGTCCACTGATCTCGTGTTTATACGAAAGTAAAAACACCGCCTATTATTAAAGAAGACGATTCCTTCAAGGTGTTTAGGCCTCAGTGGGGCGAAACACTTCTAATATAACCCTTCAGCTAATGCCTTACACCCAGAAATATTCCAGGACTTCTCCAAATGCTCTCGAGGCGGAACTTTACTACAGTGAAACTCTCACCAGAGAACAGCCTGTTTGATGTCGACATAAAACCGAGCGATCGACTACATTTGCCAAGGTGACTCACCTGAGAGACACAGGAAGTGAAATTCCACTCCTGAGATGCCACTCCCTTCTGACTGTGAGCTCCAAACACAACAGAGCTGTGTGTGTGTGTCGGCAATGTGGCATCATTGTTAATGGAGTACCTACTTTATTTGTTGTCTTTTCACTGAAAATAATTCAGAATATAATTATAGGACCATAGCATGCATGCTTTTTTGTTGTGGTTTCTCTCTGGTATGAACTTACATTCCTTTCCGTGGAGCACCTAGGTTCACTGCTTTTAATCATATGTCTTCTTTGTTGGTAGGTGGGGGTTTAATTTGTGAAAACTTTGTATTTCTGAATCCCTTAATGTGGGTCACCTTAAACTGAAAGGTAAACTGAGGTAATTTACAATCTTATACGATGAGTCTTATTTGTGATTTAGTCACAATTCTTCAAAATTCTAAGGAAATAGGATTTAGAAAAATACTTAGATGTACTTAGACTTAGACTTACTTAGAGTACAATGTAACATTGTACTCACTATTAGGCAATACAACCACTGCAATCATAGTACATTTAAAAGGCACAATAAAGGACATGAATAGCCTTCATTAGTATACTTGGTGATACAGAATAAATGTTCTAATACCATGACCCCTTTTTAAAAAAGCACACAATGCTTTGAGTAAAATGTGACAGCTTAAAACAGTATATAAAATCTTAAAACTAACAAAAAGGTAAAAAAAAAAAAGCAATCAAATACAAATCAACAGCAATCAAGCACATACACAGAACAAAATGAAAAAGAGTAAAAAGACTAGAAAGTGTTTTGGATTTACTTTGACTTCTTTCAGATTCACAAGCTTTAATCCAAAAGGTGGCAGTACAATCACATCTACAGCTGAATGAGCAACTGAGAGGTAACATTACATTACATTACATGTTACTTGTTAGACGCTTTTATCCAAAGTATAATCATTACAACAATTTATCTGGTAATCTCCCAGAACCCCCCTATCTTGTTCTTGCAAATGTAGTGATAATGATGATTTATACATGGAGTCATCCAGGAAGTGGTTGCCTAAACTACGGCATGGAGATGAGATTGTTTAGAGGTTTAGTGGGAATCATATTTCAAGGCCGATTCTGCAAGAGGACAATAAATGTTCTTGAATTTAATCCATAAAATCTCCAGTTTCCTCCTTCTTAAATGTTAAAACTTCATCCAGCGGTGAAGATAAAACCGAATAGGTCAAGCTCATTTTCTGCCCACGCCTCCTTTTCTTCCTAGAATGCTTTGCCGGGTCCGGGGTGGGAAGGCCTTACACAGGTCTGCACGTCCCCCTTTTTTTTTTTTTAAACAACCCAGTGGTGCAGGACCAAGTAGCAAAAAGACAAGATGAATGAATTTGTTTGCGCAGAAAGGTGAGCTGCTCGAGGCCCTCAATAATTCAGTGTTTGTAACAGGCGGTGCATCAGTGGGTGAACGCGTGCAGGCAGCTATGGCTGATTGATAGTCCCTGCCAAAACAAAAAACTGAACCCCATTATTCATATCGTAATAGGATCTGTGGAAACTCTGCAGCCCGTTGTCTCTGTTGTCTCAACTGCAATAATTTGGCACCACGAGGAACAACTGTGCATTTTTGACCTTGGGTTTTTGTGCTACTGTTGATGTCTGACTTTATATTGATGGTTTCCAGACTTTTATTTGACACTTGACTTCTAAACAGCCATAAATAGTGCTCTGCGTTTCGTCCATTATTCAAACGTGCGTAACTGAGGATGCCAATTTGACTTCAAGGCTTATTAAACGTACACCTGATAATGCCTGTTATAAAGAGCAAGGCAGCTATCACACTAGAGGAACCCTGGCTCACCTGTCAGGGGGACCCGGCTATTGTTGGAAGTGTTGACCTACACGAGCCCGTGTGGGTCAATAAGTGAATAATAGAAAATATCTGCTGTGCGTTGGTATGGGGTTTCTGATTATAGGCATGTCCACAAATTAAATGAACAGAGATGAAAGTGCTTACTTTTGATAGAAATCCTTGGTTTTAGTTGGTACTCTAAAGACTTGGTTCTGTACACTTGTTGAGTCCTAATGCATTGGTTATGTCTTAATAAAGTAATTTTCATTTACAATCAGAGTGCCATGAGTGCTTGAAAACAACACCAAGGACTTCCATCAAAAGTAAACTGGACAGTTATTGTTTTAATTTTCACACACATTTCTATATTTTGTTATTCCAATAACACGCTTTTTTTTAGCGAGTGTTATTTCTTACTTAATCGTAGTTGCTCTCACCCTTTCTCTGCTTTTATAGCTGCAATTGACCTATGCTCCCCCACCTGATATAAAACAGAGAAAGAGGGAGAGCAAAAAGCACACACACAAACGCATTCACAGACTCACACACACATATCTCATTACCATTCTCCAGATAGTGCAGCCAGTGGGTGTTGCAAAAGGAGGAGCGAGGGAGAGCAAGAGAGAGGGGAAGAGAGGGAGGACAGGCAGGGAACCAGCCTTATAGAGAAGGAGAGTACGAACAAGACAGCGGGAGATACGCGTGGGAACAGCAGCACACTAAATAGAGACAGAGCAGCGTTTGCAGAACAACATAACCTGTGTGTCTGTCCTTCTGCGTGTGTGAGTGTGTGAGCTCAGTGTGTTTCCACGGTTCTCCTGAGGCCGTGGCAGCCATGGCATCAGAGCCTAGCACCCAGTCCAGGGTGATGTTCCAGGCGGGGGACAAAACCGAGGAGCCGGCGCACCGCAAGCTGGGCAAGCTGACAGTCAAATACAACCGTAAGGACCTGCAGAGGAGGCTGGATATCGAGGAGTGGATCGACGGACAGCTGCACCTGCTGTTTGACTGCGAGGTAGGGCAGGACTGGCTCACACAGACACACACACTCAGACGACACACAGGGCTGGGTGAGGACGAGGTGAGGGAAGGGAGCAAGGGAGCTTCTTACAAGCGCCTGTACTATCAATCAGGGAAAAGAGATTACAGCGACATAATAGAGGAGTGGGAGGCAAGTAGTTTTGCTTCATGGCTGCAATTGTTGGCACATGAGCCCTTATGTGTCATCAACCTGACCGCAGTGTCAGCTGTGATGTGTTCTACAGTAGTGATAAGATGATTTCGTTAAGATATAATGATTGGTTCCAGTCAGTAGGAAGTAATTGAAAGCAGGCTGTAAAACCCTTAAAAAATGGTTGTGATTCAAAGTGTACGGTTGAATAGATTCTAGGATCAGTGTCATTAGATAATAAAAATATCAAGAAGTAGTAAAGTCAATACACAACAACAGTATCCCTATAAATAAAGTAGTGAAAAAGTGCCAGACAAAGTTATAAAAATGCCATGAAAGAGAGGGTATTTTATTTTGGAATGCACTGCTGTTATGCTGGCATCCAGGACATCATGTCATCTTTGAAGTGTCTGCGTCTCTGTGTTTGCAGACAAATTCTCGTGGACACAGTCATTCAATATCTTTGCAAGATTTCAAAACTACATAGTCACTCCTATATGGATGATGATTCATCATAACAGTGATTAGACATCAGAGAAACATGTTTAAATAAAAAATTCAAAAGTGTTGTTCTTTCCCACAACCATTCAAGTTGTACAATTTGTAACATTTCACACTTAGGTTATGTAAAAAAAAAAGATGTAATGTGGAACTTATTGCCAATTTTTCCCCCACAGTATTCCTAATTAAAAGCCTCAGTACACAGATTGTGATGTTTAATGTGTGCAGGGGATAATGTGGAGACAGCTTACACGAGTAGCCACACAGCCCCCATAACTCGGCTCCTGTATGATGGGATACAATCCAATTATGTCAGGCTCCATATTGATTCGCTTGGCGTTCTCTGAGGGGAAACCATGGCAACAGATGTCTGAGCGCCCACATGAGGCAGCATGGCACGGTGGAATTAGGGGAGTCTGTTCAGGAGCATGAGCTTCCCAATGACGGTGCAGATCGGATGACAACACCGTCTCCGTTTCATGCCGGAGCCGATAGAGACAAACTGCTCCTCATTACATTCTTGAGCCACACAGAGACCCTTTTGGCTGCAGACGGCCTGTAGCCCCCCCTCTGTCTGGCTTCCCCTGTTCACTGCCAGGGACACTCCCCATCCATCTGTGGCTAGCTGACATGAAAGTTTACCACTAGCCCAGTAGATTATATGGGTTTAGCCTGCTTGAGCTAACACTTTAGTGGCAGCTGAGTGTGGGGAATAGTGCTACAGTGCAACTATATTCGTCATCCCGGTAGTTTATCCCATTAACATCCAAAGCCTTCTTCCCTGTGGTAATATATGATAATATGCTTGTAAAGCTAGCTGAGGGCAGAATAAATTACATTAGGGAAACCAGGACATGTGGAAACAGATCTGAAGTCTTTTTTCTGTGTATCCTTTTGATCTTGTCCCAGAAACAGACTTTAATCATTTGCACTACTTGAACTGAAGCTGAATGGTTGGATCTCGGTATGATTGAGATGATGGGAGATAGCAATACAAGTATAAATGCAGTTGATTCAATCACATCTGACGTCATTAATTCAAGTCAACAGGAGTGTCCCTTGTTCACCAAAGTCTGAGTACTTGCTTTGAAAGTGAATGCTTTGCTTCCTAGTCCTTCCTTCCTTCCACCGACCGGATATTTGCATTAGCCATTTGTATAAAATCAGCCGTGGCTCGTCCATGTGCACTGGCCAGTGTAATGAATGTTGCATGGGCTCAGGGGAAGGTTACTCTGTTGGTTCTCAGTCTTCCGTGTGGAAGCATTTACCATCAGTCCCCTGTGTCACCACCTGAATTATTTAGCATCATCTCTAATTCATAAAAGTGCTGCCTTGGTCTGGAGGGGCCGCCTCCGTTTCAAACGTCACACCTTTCTAAGAAGGATGAAAAAAAGTTGGGACAAAGCTCTGGGACAGACTGTTGAATGTAGAGCAATGTTAATGCCAGTGTGTGTGTGTAGTAGCTCAGGTCAGTGTTTTCCCTACTGATACTAAACTATGAAGAAGACAGCAGCACAATCGGAAATATTTTTAAACACAGCATCTATTGTAGATATGGAGTAAGTACGTCATGTTTTTACTTGTTTTCATTCCCATTTTGAAATGGTCACACTTTTATGTAACTGAATAACAGGATTTGTCCCTCCTCGCTAAAGTTAAAAACTATTTTGATCTCTATGCAGCTCGTGCTATCGGCAGGAAATGGGAAGGGTCTGATAAGTAAAAACACACACTGGCATCTTCTCCAAACAGCTAGATTTCCTGGGCATGGCTTCCTCTACATTATGATACAAACACATAGTGTGTGTAATGGACCCATAAATGTTTTCTTGTACTCTTCACAGGTCAGTGAAACTATAATTAACACTTACATACAGATAATTACAGGATTCTAGGTGTAAACAAAAACAATTAACAGTTACACATTTTGGGATATTCACTAATGAGTTCTATGGGTGAGTGTTAGATGAGAACATTGACAGCTCTTTTCTGTCCGTTAAATATGAAGCTACTACTATTGAGCTGGTTAGCTTACCTTGGCAATAAAAAAAATGGGAAACAGTGAGCCTGGATCGTTTTCTTGTTGAGCTAAGTTGTGAGTAGCTTCATATTAAGTGTTTATACATCCCCACATCTCATAATGTTGCTTTAAATAGTAAACAAGCCTTACACACCGGGGCTAGAGGAAAAGTAATACAATGAGTACATTGAGCCTGAGCTGTTCTGTAAACATTCTGATTATCTGTCCGTTATCAGTTTTGAATATGATATGAACCACAAGGAAACTGAGGGCTGCTTGAGAGGATAGAATGAAGGTCAATGTGTCAGCGCAATCACTACAGGTCCTCCTCTGAGCAGTGTAACCATGCTGAGTAAATATTTTAATCCATAGTTTTTGTTCTGAACTTTGCACTCCATATTTTCCTGGTTTTGGATACTCATCATCCAGTATATTCCTAGATAACATGGACATTCTGGCTTTTAAAATTATAGGAACTATTCACTGGGGCCATGAATATCAATACTCAATATCATGGCAGTCGTGTTGGTGAAAACATCACTTCCATATTCATGATTTCCTAAATTTGTGCCAACATTCAATTTAGCTCCAGACCTTTTAAACTTTAAAAAGTGCTGCTGAGACATTTCTGCCCAGAGGCCTCGTAAAAATGCTTTTTCCTCTGACAATGGAAGCAACTCTCAACAAGCTGAAAAGGGCGACTGCCTTTTATACTACTAAACTATATACTATACTATATTTTATACTATATACTAAACATATATTAAAAAGGATCACCCTAGCTCTACAATGTTCCTGTGATTGAACAAACAAATATTTACACTTTTCTATACATCACAGTTTTTAGCTAACATGATGGTACTTTACTTTAATATTTGTATTATTTAGTAGTACTTCTTTGTATTTACTTTTACAAGGATTCTTATCTTATCTTATATCATTGTGAATTGATGATAATCTAATAAAAAAAGTATTAAAAAAAGTTTTTGCTCTAATCAATGGAATAATAAAAACACAGACCCAAGCATCCACAGCCTTAGAAAGTAGAACTGGAATAGAAACGTACAGCGTGAACGAACAAAGAAATAAAACAAGCGCTCCCTGCATGTGTCCTGCAGACATCAGCAGAATCACTGAGGGTCCAGACCGGCAGCATGTATCAATTAGAGAAGGGGGCACAGGGGACGCTGAAGGTGGGCCCATCTATTCCCAAACTCAGCACTTCCACATTAATTGGCTCTCTCCTCATCCAGAAAGCTGCGCGAGTCCCATCCTCACCAGCCATGAAAACTCCCCAACCGGAAAAAAAATCCTCTTAAAAAATCAGCCCCACTTGTCAAAAATGAGTGTTCACCTGCTGAGTCTCGATATCAGGATTCTTCCAGGGAGCCCTGTTCAGTCCCTCTGAAGTATATAGTTAAAAAGGTGTGGTAAAAGGAAATTATTTCTTTGCTATATTTGCTTTTTATAACAGCAGATTGTGTCCTTTCTTCTTTTTTACAATGATCTTTGGCAGTTTGATGATGGGATTAATCAGCAATGTGCTCCCACCCAATGTTTAAATGAAGGCTAACACATAAGAAAAAGTGTTTTATATATAATAAGGCATACTCTTCATATTATACAGTTGCTGCTGTCCTTAGGATTGTATCTTAACTCACAATGTAGGACAGCCTAGCGGAGATGAATATATTCCTTCGAGAACATTTAAACTGGAAATAATCTCTCAGTAATGGCTGAACTGCATGCTAGCTGGGTAAACCATCCATGAAATCTGATGGTGTCATGTGGCACGAATGGCCCCCAAGAGCCTTTTTGCCTTCATGCCTCAGTGCTCTTACTTATTTGTCTAGCAATTCCTCCATCACATGATTGTTACAAGAGATTGTAAAGGAAGAATAGAAGGGTTTACACTTTTTACTACAATACAGCAAATACTGTTTACTGGGGTGATCACCTATGGACAAAAGAATGGTGACAACTCTTTCTAACGTTACAATCAAACAGCTTATATAGTACTGTGCTGCAGTGAAATCCTTGTCCTGTCACGTCACCATCTTACTCTTTCTCTTCCTTTCCAATGACTTTGCTCAGTCGCGTGGAAAGTCTAACCACTGTCAGTGAATGGATGGCAGGAAGCCCACATTATACAGCGTCTGCAAGAGCTTTGCAGAAATGCAAGTGTGTGAAATATAAAAGAAGAATATTGTGGTAACGTTTGTTACTTTTTGCTTTTACAGGAGGAAGAGATTCCAGAGTTAGAGATTGACATAGATGAACTCCTGGAGCTGACGGACGAGGGCCAGAGAACCCGTCTGCAGGTGAGTGCGCAAATTAAACTTAAAAACAATAACATGATTAGCTATTATTGTTGTTGAACTTTCATTCTTATATATTCAGTAGAGGCTTTGTGAAACTGGAACCCAGGACTTTAAGACTTTAACCAAAGAGAGAAATAGTTCAACCACTTGACACCTAGGTACATACCTAACTATGTGCAATGCTGGTTAATAGCTTAACAAGCACTTGACCCTTGATAGAATCCAATGTTGCAATGTTTGTACTGAAAAAGCAATGCCCATTATTGTTACTGAGCCTATTTGTGTATGCTTTCTTTGTTAGGAGCTGTTGCAGGAATGTAGAAAGCCAAAAGAGGTGAGGAACTTATGTGAAACCACATGTAGCATATATATTTCAATATTTAACAGATAAACAATATAACTTGTGTAGTGTTGTTATGGCTAGTCTGCTGGAGGTATTTGTAGAAATAAATCTATTTTCTCCATGCCTCCTTTAGGATTTTATCAACGGGCTGCTCTACAGGATAAAGGGTCTACGCAAAATGTCAGGTCCGTTGAAGAAATAATTATAGGTCAACTAAAGAATTGAGACAATGTGGAGCCTCCGATCTTCCCATCTCCCACGTGTCAACCGCAACATGTCAGTGGGACTCTCTTCCTGCCCTCCCCCCCCAGTATCAGTCTTAACACCAGAGGAGTTTTCAATGGATTTTTTTTTTATTCTTTCACTTAAATTCATTGACTGCTATAACATTTGTCCTCCCATAAACAAACCAATAATGCACATGTGATCAAAGATGTACTGACTTTTGTTTTGTTTTTGCGTAAGACTGTACATTTTTTCGGTTGCCTATTTATGTACATAAATATTTTTTGTTCTGATAACAGTGTTGTATGTGGAAATAAAATTAAACATTTTCAAGACAAGGCTGTTGATGAATTATCAAAAGGGTTACATGGGATTTTTTAGCAAAGTGACGGCCCAACAGTATCAGTTATCATTCATTCAAAACATAAAAATTGATATTGACATGTCCCATCAATTTAAAGTACCACTAAAACTATGCATAGTTGCTCATTATTACTGCTCTAAAAACACTAATTTGCCTATAAATAATTATGTCCTACTGTCCAGAGGCAATTATAAGATGTTACTGCAGCGCGACGGTCGTTCACAGAATACAAGCTTCTGTTTTCTGGCACAAATCTTTCAACAGATCGATGGAAACAAAGGAGACGTTGACATGTCAAGTCTAGGAGTAAACACAGTGAAATCAGCAGCAGGGAAGTACCATCAAGTATGCATCCATTATCCTCATCCATTTCCTGTCTGTGGTGCGTGTATGACATGGCCAGAAGAGGCAAACACAGTAACAGCCTCCATGCAAACCTTAATGGAGCAGGGCCCCCAGAGGAAAAGTGTAATTATGGTTTCTCTAGCTTGACAGTAATGCACACTGATGATACTGCACTCTGGCCTTCTCTCTGTCATACACACAGGGTCTCTCGGCTCCATTTTAGTAATTCGCTCAGCTCCCTCCTCCCCACTTCCACTCTCTGACACAGAGGCCATCCATACTGACTACACTTCCGACAAGGCCTGGGAGCGGGACGTTTGTGATGATATCAGTGATTGCCTTAGGGTTATAAAATAAAACTACAAATATGTGACATGCTGTAGCACCTCTCTTCTGCATTCTTTATAATGGAATTACACACAAGGACAAGGAAGGCAGCGCTCATTTCACACTTGCAGCCAAACATAGATTACAAGAGTGACTGCAGCGCTTGCCAAAATAAAACAAAGCCCTCAGTAATCCCTTTATACGGACTCCTCTGTATTTCTACAGTCCACAGCTGACAGTTACTGGGAGTGTACATCATCCCGTTTGAACCCGTGATATGGCTGCTTTCTGTCTGTGTTGTTGATTTTTTTTCAAATGGTGCGAAGTGCTTCTAAAGATGAGCCTCTGGGAAGTGACATAAGAACAAATCTAAGCTTCTTTTTAATGTTTCACTTTTCTTGTGTGCAGTTGGCTGTGCAGCTTTGCTCAAATACTATTACGGAAGAATAGGAGCTATGTTTTTTATATTATACGCACAGTATAATATTCGTGTTATTCTTATTTCTAGGCTTTGATTTGCCATATATGTTTTGTTTTGCTGATTTAGATCCCTGCTAGCAGTTACAGAAAGAAGATGCTGCTCTTTTTTACGTGGTCAACACCGACGCATGTTTACAGTCATTTTAAACAGATTGGATAAGCTAGGGTTAAATGAAGAGGTTTTGGCTTCTTTTAGTTAATAGGTAGTGTTTAAATCTTCTTGGCTTTACAAACAATAATAGGTCACTTAAATCTAAAGCACAAGCCTAACAGTAATGACTGACCAGAGCCGCACAGGGCAAACATCTACAGCGCAGTTTCCCTATCATGTCTTCCTCTTCCTCTTTGGCCCGGTGTAGTTAGTGGTGCGATGCTCCATCCTGTCATATTTATCATGGCCTTCCCTGGGGAGATAATGGAGAGTGGATTGATTATTTATCACAATAAATACTTTATATTCATGCTGCCTAACAGTATGGCAACAGCCTGGCTACAATCTATCTGGGTCATGGTATGCATTCCAAATCACAGCCTTCTTTCTTGGGCATCAGAGCAAAGATTTCCATGCAAAGCTCGATTAAGATAGTTATTGTGGTGCTCGTTGTAATGGATGTACAGTATGGTGTGTTACCTAAAGCAGCGGTTGCAGTATAGGTCTCCATCACAGGTTTGACAGCGAATACTGGCGTCATGGTTACAGATGCAGCACCATGGCAGCTCCTCTTCATCACTGTCTGATGGCTGAGGTGCAACAGCAGCCGGGGAAATCCTGCTCTTGGGTGCTGGTGTCTGGGTGTGAAAAAAAGATATACTGTATCAGATTAACAAGGAATTTAATCAAGTATTCATTTTCCTAAACTAACTGTAAGTTGATTCATTGAGTAAATGATAAGAGGAAATTAAGATATAGTCAAACTTAAAATGAGGATATTTTATGAAAATAATACTAGCTTTATTGACATTCACTTGACTGCAAAAGAAGTATGATTTAGGATAATAAATAAATAAATGAGGAAATCATATTCTGAACTCTTCTAATGTTATTCTATCCAAGAGCTTAAACATTTTTTTGGATTTAGTATTTAGTAGTTGTTGTTTAGTACCAGTTTCTTAGCCATGGTTTTCTTCTCTGTGTTCTTTGGTCCACTGTGTTCTAAAGGTATGTTGTAGCCACTGGCCTCGTCCAATGCAGCCTCTTCAGATAGCTGGGAAAATATACAGGAATTTAAAACATGTCCAAATGTCATTGTAAATTATTTAAATAGCAAAATAGCAGCCCCTTGTGGCCATGCGAACTGGTCCACTTCAGTTCACACTCATCTTTAAGGGTGTGATAAGCACAGAGTAGTAACAGGCCTGTCATGTTAATGTAATGCAAACCACATTGCAGTGAACTTTATTTAAAAAAAGGTTCCACACCTGTTTTAAAACTCTCCTCACAGCTTCTTCCTCAGTCTCATCCTCACTGTCAGGATGCTGAAAGTCCTCCATAGTAACTAGAGATGACATGGCAAATACAATACAATTTACAGCACAATGTTTAAAATGAAAGCTCTTCATATTATCAGACATTTTGGTGTGAAAGTACGGATAGTCAGTAAGGTATAGAAAGTGATAAACCGAGAGCTTTATACGTGATTTTGTACCTTTGTCTGGGTCCTGCCCCTTCAGCTGTGCCATCCTCTTGGCCATGTGGAGGACCTGATCCTGGGAGTGGCGCTCCTTCCTGAGCTCCTCCATGGCCTCCTCCAGGACACGGGCCTTCTCCGTCTCCAGCTGCTTGTCCGACTCCTGGTTCTCCTCCAAATTCTCATCCAATGTCCCTGCCTCCCCCTTGTTGAGGTCGTTCATACGGCCATCTACACCTGCAGAGAGATTGATGAGACTATAAGTCAGCTTTTGGTGTCAGAATGAAGTTATAATTGTTAAAACTGCAAAAGACTGTGATTATGACTGCATCTTTAAATATTAATCAAATGTTGGAGAGGTCAATGACAGGAATAATTACTGCATTCAGGATTTGATTGCTGGTCGTCAATGGCAACTTCCTCTGACATCTGAGAAATCAGATCATTGGCTTGCTCAGTCTGAGTCCTGTTATCTGGAGGGCGGTGCACCTGTACAGATCAGCACAAAAGGACATATACTACTAGTGAGAAATTATAGCAAATTTAGAATGCAGGTCCTTTTAATTTCATTTCATTTCAAACCTTTATTTATCCAGGTGTATCCCATTGAGATCATTGATCTCTTTTTCAAGGGAGACCTGCTCAAGTAGGTTCCACATGAAACATAAAAAAACATAAACAGAACAACAAAGGGACATCTTACATCATCATTACAGGGATTACAATTTACATAACTATCCACATGAACAGGTACTAACAGCTTCCGATTGAGTAGCATCCAACCGAGCTTTAAAAACATTTAGTGGCATCAGATTGCTCAGTTTCCATTTCAATTGCAGAATATTCCAAGACAGTGGAGCCTGTGCATCTAAATGCGATCTTCCCTAAGACGAGTCCTAGCAGTTGGCACATTTAATAAAACTACAGCATGCGATCTCAGGCAGTAGCCACTTACAATTCGCCGTGAGATCAGGGAGCAGATGTAGGATGGAAGTTTCCCTAACATGGCTTTATATATAAAAATGTACCAGAGACTGAGCCTCCGTACAGTTAGCGAAGGCAAACCAGCCCTTGCATACAGGGTACAGTGATGGGTTATGCTTTACAGTTTGTCACAAATCTCAGCGCGCTCTGATACACAGCATCTAACTTGACCAGGCAATTGGCAGGTGCATTCATATAAATCAAATCACCATAGTCCAGCACAGGTAAAAAGGTCACAGTGACTAGCCTTTTCCTGGCCTCAAGCGAGAAATGGTAAATGGTAAATGATGAACTGTACTTACAGTATATAGCGCTTTATCCAGTCTTTAAGACCCCTAAAAGCGCTTTACATACCACATGTCATTCACCCATTCACACCCATTCATACAGAGCAGTGTACCTTACTTAGTCTAGGACCTAACATTCACACACATTCACACACCGTTGGCCATGCCATCGGGAGCAACTCAGGGTTAAGTATCTTGCCCAAGGATACATCGACATGTTGACTGCATGGGCTGGGATCAAACCCACAACCTTCTGGTTGAAAGACGACCACACTCCCTCACAGCCACAGTCGCCCTGTGAAACAGGACTTGTTCCTTTAGAAGAAACCTACTCTGTTTTTTAAGCAGGTTATTGACATGACGTTTAAAAGTGAGACAATCATCCAGCCAGATACCAAGGTATTTGTAACAGGTAACCACTTCAAGTTTTATTCCTTGCGTAGTTACAATATCTACAACAGGCTCTGGTGTCTTTTTAGCTTTTGAAAAGAGCATTACCTTGGTTTTATCAACATTTAAAAGAAGCTTTAGTTCAGAGAGCTGAGTCTGAATAATGTTAAAAACAGCTTGCAATTCAAAAACAGCCTCCTTAATGGAGGGACCTGCACAGTACATCACGGTATCGTCCGCATAAAAATGTAAGGTTGCTCCATCGACATTTTCACCTAAACTATTGATGTAGATAAAAAGAATAAAAGTGGACCTAAAACAGAACCTTGAGGAACACCATTAGTAATGTTTAACCACTCAGAAAACAGCCCATCAAAATGAACACATTGGGACCTTTCAGAGAGGTAGTTCACAAACCACCCCACTGCATGGCTGGATATGCCAATACTGAGTAGCCTCTGCTTTAAGATGCGATGATCAACGGTATCAAACGCTTTGGACAGGTCAATAAATAGAGCTGCACAACTCTG